CAGCAGGGGATCAAATAAATATTTTCCCCACTGTAGTACATATATTTCATTGAAATAAAAATGATTTTTGACCACCATGGGAGGAGCACCAGAGGGTTAAAGCTAGGGGTGTGCGATATATATCGTCTGCGATAATATCGCAATTGTTGTTTTAACGATGTGCAATTTGACATGATCTAGTATTTTGCAAAAACCAAACAAAACACCTATGGAGTGCACGCATACATTACGTGATGAAGTCTAGTGGGTTAAACAGTGCATGTGTGCATTTAGAGAGTGTTCTTTCACCGCATGATTCAGTCTATTAAAATGCATTAAGAAAGATCACAAAATTCAAGATATGGGGGAACAAAATGTACATATTTATATCATTTCATATAGTTAAAATCACACGAAGAGTGACGTTTTTTTCTTCAAAAATAAGCACGATTACAAACGTGATAGTGATTTTATACAACAGTTCAATAAACAATAAGTTAATATTAAGAGACTTACGTTTTAGACACCATATTGCCTGTTTTTGCTCTATTTCGCCAACCAAAAATAATTCCAAACAGCCACCACAGAACAGTTTTGCGTCTCTGAGCAATGACGGTGTTTAGTTCCTGAATGATTCAACCGTTTAAATGATTCGGTTCAATCGCAATGACTCACTTGTTAACAGTGAACTGCTGCCACCTACTGGCGATTTTAATTTCACATTTAATATATCTTTTCATTTTTAAAATAATTTTAAACATCAGTATTCAATGTTTTATTTTTAAAATATCAAAACATTATGCATTTGTAACTGCAGGTTAAAGCACTCCATGTCCTTCTGATCTGAATTAAATAGTGTGTAAATACATCTAAATGCCACTTCAGATGCAACTTCTGCAAAGATTAATTTTGTTGATACTGGTTTCATTTGTTTGGTAACAGCCTAGATGTCTTATTATTCTAATTGACTGATTAAATGTAAGAATTTGACTCAAAGGATGCACACTTTTAGAACAAAAATGGCTTTATTAAAAGGTAAAAATGCCCATAAAAGGTAAAAATCAATTTAAACTTATATGAAAAGATTAATTTCTGTTCACTGATCACACAGAATGAAGAATATCAAAAACTGCAGCTGTCCATCGTAGTCAGATATCAGCACAATGACACACTCGGCAAAATATCGTCTAATTATCGTTATCGAAAATATCCTAAAAAATATCGAGATATTATTATTTGTTCAATATCGCACACCCCTAGGTGCGAGGCAGTTCTTCTTCTTAAGATGCTTCATATGCATTGATATTCACAATAGTTTCATTTTAAATGGATATTTATGCTTTGGTTTATCAGTGTACTCATTACAAGAATACTGTATACGGTTAATCAGGAGTATGGTGAGAAAAGAAGACATCTGCAAGTTGGAAATCCCAGAGGGTTTGAGAAAGGACCTCAGCCGTGATCCTGATCTACTGAGAGACATTCAGATTTGAGCTGCCAAGAGATCAATAAATGGTTCAAATTGACTAATTTCAATCAAACAGGAAGCAGAACTCATTTATGATGTCATGTTAAAGTGAAAGTATACAGAAGCTCATACTTCCACTTTGAACATGTGGAAAAAGTTATCATTTTTATCTTTATTATTCGGTGTTCTTTTATGCAATGACAGGGCATCAGCACTTTGTTATATTTCCTCGACCAATCAGATTTGAGGATGGTAACTTACTGTTGAACATGAAAACAACAAATATGGGTTAAAAGAATTTTATTTAGATTGTTTACACCAAAAACATTAAATTATATGACATCTCAGTTTTTATATATGACTATTTGCCCTTAAAAAAAAAAAAAATGACAGCAATATATTTATGTTTTATGATAAGAATTAGTATTTTTATTATGATATTGCACTTTGGATACAGGCATATAGAGGTCCCTGAATATTATGTTCTCAATTATTTTGTCATTTTTTGGTTTATTAAAATGAGCAGACTGACATAATGGAAAATATTTTGATACATTTGAAACTGACTGCATGCTGCTTTAACATTGTTTGTTTAGTGAATGTTACATTGTGACACCAAAAACTGCTGCAAATAAAACTGTTTAACTACCTTTTAAAATCTTTGCAGTATGATTTCATTCTAGTTTTTTTTTTTTTTTAGTAAGACCATCTATTATAATTTATTGTAAGTTATTCATTAAGATCCCACATACAAACCCAAATTAAACAAAATGTCTCAGGCTTCATATACATCCCAATCCATAAACACTGATTCACAACAACACCCAATTAAATATGAAAAATCAGCATGGATTACAAGTTACACTACAGTCGACTAAAAACAGAAATCTAATCAGCAACACAGCAGATCAAGTTAAGTTGTACAATCAGGTTTGTAACATTCACATTTGGCCATTAAATTACATATACCGCTTTGCAAGCTGAAAGTATGCAGCTGGTTGGGAAACTACAATACAATAGGAGTGTCTTGAGGAGCTTCATCTCAACTAATGGCGGAAATGAAGCAAAATCCAAGGAGTTTGCTGTTAATGCCCAATTAGAAGAATAGCACACATACTTCATTAATTCTGAACACTGCAAAGAACTGCAATGCAAAGACATTAATGTCTTACATTCAGTGCATTTTTTAAGACTTTTATTCAAATAAATATTTTATATTATGTGGTATACGTTTTTTGCAGGTATCTTCAATGCTTAATTTGGATACTAATTAATAACACATTTTTATTATCATTATTAGATTAGTTACAACATTATTTATTGTACATGGAATCTATTAAATTAAAGAATATTATTTTTATACCATTCCCATCATTCATCCAGAATTCACCTCTGAAATTGAAGAGCAGCATCAAACATTCAGTGTTTCTTCATGGAGTCGAGGATGCGCAGGATATAGATGAACAGGTTGACTATGTCCAGGTACAGGTTGATGGATGCCAGGACGTGCTCCTCTGGTGACAGCTTATGCATCAGCAAGTGAGTATCGAAAATAATGAACCCACAGAACAGCAGAGCTCCCGCCCCAGCAAAGACCAACTCCATTGTGTCATTGTAGAAGAAAAGCTGAAGGACACAGAGTTGTGCAGTCGATGAAATGTGTCTTGAAATTAAATAAAGTGACTTGACTGTATGACTCTTGACAAATTCAAGTCAATTTGATAAATAATGTTGAATACTACTACATATATATATACATATATATATATATATATATATATATATATATATATATCAGTGCTGTCAGATGTGTGTGTACTGTGTTATTATGTATATATAAATACACGCACATACAGTATATATTTTGAAATTCTGTTATATACCATTCTGTTGAATTTAGCCTTAGACTCACCCTCATAAAGCTTGCAATGATCAAGATCCACAGGCCAGCAAACAGACTAAGAAAAAAGATGACCAATTAGGATTTTTTTTAGCATTTGCATTATTAAAAACAAAACAAACAAACAAACAAAACAAAGGACAGACAACCTGTTGCAGCAGGCTCTCTATTAAACAGACCAATAATATGACTGAAGAAATTCTTCAGTCCTCCTCACAAAGACATTCATTTGTCCTCCCAGCGACTTCCCATGCCGATGGGTGGACCATGCATCACATCATATAACAGAGTTATGACTCATGGAGCCCCATTATTTTTGTTACATTTCATTTTAATGACTGGAAAGAAGAATGTTTCTCTAGAGACTATTTCTGCCACAACGCAAGAACATCCGCACGGATTCAGGAGTAAATGGATTAAAACAATAATTCTTGCACTCAGTTACTGTGATGAATGTGACAGATCCGGGTCTTGAGCGGACGAGAATGAGAGAATTACCTGGCTCCGAGCTTGCTGAAGTCTCTTTTAGACTGGAAAGTGTAGGCAGTGAGACCCAGGAACACAGCAGACGTGAGCACAAAGGCCTGGAGCACTATGCTGTACTCATAAAATGTCACTAAAAGCAGAAAAATATGGTATCAGATGATCCATCAAGGAAGTATCCATTAATATTATGTGACTGGACTTCTATAAATTAAGAAAATGAATGAACATACCCGCAGTGGCTACAGACAGAGATTCCAACAGAGTCTGCATAAACATTTACAGCCATTACATTACAGTACTTCATAATTAATATGAAGTGCATAAATATATGCACGTACACACACATATACACATATACACACATATACACATATACACATATACACATATACACACATATACATATACATTTTTCACTCTTTGTTATATTGCAGCCATTTGCTAAAATCATTTAAGTTAATTTTTTTTCCTCATTAATGTACACACAGCACCCCATATTGACAGAAAAACACAGAATTGTTGACATTTTTGCAGATTTATTAAAAAAGAACAACTGAAATATCACATGGTCCTAAGTATTCAGACCCTTTGCTGTGACACTCATATATTTAACTCAGGTGCTGTCCATTTCTTCTGATCATCCTTGAGATGGTTCTACACCTTCATTTGAGTCCAGCTGTGTTTGATTATACTGATTGGACTTGATTAAGAAAGCCACACACCTGTCTATATAAGACCTTACAGCTCACAGTGCATGTCAGAGCAAATGAGAATCATGAGGTCAAAGGAACTGCCTGAAGAGCTCAGAGACAGAATTGTGGCAAGGCACAGATCTGGCCAAGGTTACAAAAAAAATTCTGCTGCACTTAAGGTTCCTAAGAGCACAGTGGCCTCCATAATCCTTAAATGGAAGACGTTTGGGACGACCAGAACCCTTCCTAGAGCTGGCCGTCCGGCCAAACTGAGCTATCGGGGGAGAAGAGCCTTGGAGAGAGAGGTAAAGAAGAACCCAAAGAACATTGTGGCTGAGCTCCAGAGATGCAGTCAGGAGATGGGAGAAAGTTGTAGAAAGTCAACCATCAATGCAGCCCTCCACCAGTCGGGGCTTTAAGGCAGAGTGGCCCGACGGAAGCCTCTACTCAGTGCAAGACACATGAAAGCCCACAT